AAGATCGGGTGAGCGGATGAAGGCCATCTGGCCATCGCGCGGCGGACGGTTGATGGTGATGCCGAGTTTCATCAGCCGGTCGCAGGTGGCATAAATATCGTCGACCTCGTAGGCGAGGTGGCCGAAGTAGCGATCCTCGCCATAGGTCTCTTCATCCCAGTTGTAGGTGAGTTCGACCAGCGGCGCGCCGCGCCCCTTGACCTGTTTGAGCAGACTCTCGTCTTCGTCCGCGCAGAGAAACACCAGCGTAAATCGGCCTTTCTCGCTTTCCGTCCGGCGGACTTCCTTAAGCCCGAGCGCGTCGCTGTAGAACTTGAGAGCAATATCGAGGTTGCGGACGCGCAGCATGGTGTGCAGATAACGCATGTTTCTTATCCCTGTTCGAGCATCGCCGGAGTGCCGTTGAAATTCCGACGATCAGATAGCAGCAAATCGGCCCCGAGGGCAGGTGTTGTTAAGGGAACCTTTTTGCTCCGTCGCCGTTATCTCACGGAATTGATGGGAATAAGGAGGCGTTCTTGGAAGAAGTGATCGATCGGATTATCCATACGTTCGGTATGATGCGTAACCTGGACGAGAACGAACTGAAGGAAGCCCGCGAAAGCGTCGATACCTATATCGAAACACTTTCTTCCGCCGGCGAGACCGACCCGCAACGTCTGACGGTGTGCGGTCTGACATTTCTCCGCAATCGCCTTGAAGAACCTTCCCCAAAATTTACCGGCTGTTGAGTCTCGACGCCTCGTCGCGATCCGCTGCCGTATGACAGTGGATAAGAAACCGCGTCGTCTGGCGAGGCACAGGCCTTCTTGGTACCTCCTTGACCCAGTCAAACGGGGAAGACCATGCAAAAGGTAGATTTGGATTCGATGTCGATCGACGATCTGGCGAACCTGCGCGACCAGGCCAGCGAGAAGCTTGCCGACAAGATCGCCGCACGTCAGCGCGAACTCGCCGCGGAAATGGAAAAGCTCGCCGCCTTGGGGAAGACAGCCAAGGTCAGCGCTCCCAAGAAGGATATGAGGGAGATCAAAGAAGCCCTGAAGCCTCAGGAAGCGTCCAAGCCTCAGGAAGCGCCGAAACCACAGGCGCCCAAGGCGGACAAGGCAGCCTGATTTTAGCGGTAGCTCGGAAGAGAATGGGGGCTTCGCGCCCCCATTTTTGTTGGGTTATACTGACACGATGATTGCATCCGATCTTCGCAGTGGAATCGACATGCTTGGCGATATGATCGCCGAGGCACGCACGATTGTACCGTTCACCGGTGCAGGCATTTCCACCGAAAGCGGCATTCCCGATTTCCGTTCGCCCGGCGGCCTGTGGACTCGCAATCGTCCGATCCCGTTCGGCGAGTTCGTCGCCAGCCAGGAGGCGAGGGACGAGGCCTGGCGCCGCCGCTTCGCGATGGAGCCGAGCTTCGCTGCGGCCAAGCCCAGCCGCGGGCACCGGGCTCTGGCGTCGCTGTACAAGGCCGGAAAGGTTCCGGCGATCGTTACGCAGAACATCGACAACCTGCATCAGGTGTCGGGATTTTCCGCCGAGCATGTCGTCGAGCTGCATGGCAACACCACCTACGCGCGCTGCATCGGATGTGGACAGCGTTTCGAGATTCCCTGGGTCAAGGAACGTTTCGACGAAGAAGGCATTGCGCCGTCCTGCACGACGTGCGGTGAGCCCGTGAAAACGGCGACGATTTCGTTCGGCCAGTCGATGCCGGAAGATGAAATGCGCCGCGCGACGGAACTGGCGCAGCACTGCGACCTGTTCCTTGCAATCGGATCGTCGCTGGTGGTGTGGCCTGCCGCGGGTTTTCCGCTGATGGCCCGCAATTGCGGGGCCAAACTCGTGATCATCAACAACGAGCCGACGGATCAGGATGACGTTGCCGATCTGGTGATCCGTCACGATATCGGCGAGACCCTTGGGCCGTTCGTCGGCAATTGACCCCATCAATGATTCGCTGCCCTTCAAGGCTGTTCATAGGTCACCGCTGATTTGTTTTTTGTCTTTCAGCCCTGTTGCGGAGTGTTATCGTTAAATCAAGGATTCGCCTTGGTTCATTTTGATTCGTCACGATGAAATAGCGCGAGCTTCCTTGCATAACGTACTTGGTCATGTCGTTGACTGACTGAAGATTTGTTGGGGTCCGGGGGTCATGGGTTCGGACGGATTTGAGTCCAAGAAGGCAGGTGGTCAACCGGTTGGGGGATCCGACAGGTTTGCTCCGAGTGAGCTGGCTGCCACTGCCGAGCGGAATTTGGCCGCCGACTCCTTCGCGGCCGCAGACGGTGCGGCCGTCAACCTCGTCGAGATTTCCGGCGTTATCAAATGGTTCGACGCCTCCAAGGGCTACGGCTTCATCGTCCCTGACAACGGCTGGCCGGACGTGTTGCTGCACGTCACGATCCTGCGGCGCGACGGCTACCAGACCGCCTATGAAGGTGCGCGTCTGGTCGTTGAGTGCGTCCAGCGCCAGAAGGGCTATCAGGCCTTCCGCATCGTCTCGATGGACGAGTCGACGGCGATCCATCCGGCGCAGATGCTTCCGGCGCGGACTCACGTCAGCGTGACTCCGACCAGCGGGCTGGAGCGGGCGCAGGTCAAATGGTTCAACCGGCTTCGCGGGTTCGGCTTCCTGACCTGCGGCGAAGGCACACCTGATATCTTCGTGCATATGGAAACCCTGCGCCGTTACGGCATGACCGAACTGCGTCCTGGCCAATATGTGCTGGTCCGCTTCGGGCCCGGCTCCAAGGGTATGATGGCGGCCGAGATTCAGCCTGAGACCGGTGCGCCCGGACTGTCGTCGCACTGACGTGACGTCAACCACATCCGCGTGATCATGAACGAAGGCCAGATCCTGCATCTGGCCTTTGCCACGATTGACGGGCTAGGGTGCCGCTGTCGAACGTCAGGGCGTTGCTTGAGATGAATTCGGGTTCTTTGTTGAAATCTTTTCCATCCATCATCCGGTCGCAAAACCTGAGAGGGTTTTTGCAAAGGGTTGCCGTTGCCTTCGTCGTGATGCTGACCGCGTCGCTCGGCGCCACCGCCGCCGAAGTGCAGCCGCTTGAGATCGTCACCAAGTCGGGTGTTCATGTGTTCTCGGTCGAGATGGCAAAGACCGAGCAGGAGCGCGCAACCGGCCTGATGTACCGCAAGGAACTGGCCGAGGGGCGGGGCATGTTGTTCGATTTCTCACCCGAGCAGCAGGTTTCGATGTGGATGAAGAACACCTTCATTCCGCTCGACATGATCTTTATCCGCAGCGATGGCCGCATTCTGCGGATCGCGGAAAATACCGAACCTCACTCCGAGAAGATCATTTCGTCGGGCGGTCTGGCGAAGGGCGTGCTTGAGGTGATCGGCGGAACGGCCCGGAAATACGGAATCCAGGCCGGCGACCGCGTGGCTCATCCGCTGTTCGGAACCCGCTGAGCCAAAGCTGGCATCGGCGCGCGGACCGTCGGGTGGCGTCCGGTTCCTATAAAACTCAACGAAATCAGTGGGTTGGTCGGGGCAGGAGGATTCGAACCTCCGACCTGCGGTACCCAAAACCGCCGCGCTACCAGGCTACGCTATACCCCGAGAGGGCAGTCGATACACGCTTCGCATGGCTCCAGCAAGGCAGAACGGCATATCGCGGGCGGTTAAACCGCCCGCGGCAAATTTGTCCGCCGTATGGTCAAATCAGGCCCCCGGAGCTGCCGAAGTCTGGGCCGCAGGTGCTTTCGCGGGTGCCGACCGCGCCGATGGCTTGTCCTGCTTCTTCGACCAGCTTCCGTAGTAGGCGACGGCGGTCAGGATCGCGACCCCGATGACGCTGACGCCGAGTTGCGCCCAGACCGTGCCCCAGCTCAGCATCAGCACGAAGTGCCCAACGAAGGAGAGGAAGATACCGACGCAGAACACCTGCAGCGATTGCTGGCCGCACTTGATTACCGGCTCGGCCCATTTCGACTCCAGCGGCCCCCAGTTTTTCGGAATAAAGCGCGTGATGAAGAACGCGATGACCACGAAATGGATGACGCGATACGGCGCCAGGAACGTCTTGTCGTTCGGATTGAAGGCGTCATAGAGCCACTTCGGAAACAGCGCGCCAAAGGATTCGAATCGCCCGGCCATCGTCATGATCATCGCAAAGATCAGATAGAGGGTCCCGGCGATCAGCAGCCATTGAGACTTGATCACCGAGCGGGATTCGTTGGCCCCGCCCAGTGCGAACCAGGCGCCGAAGACGAACAGCAGCTGCCAGGTATACGGATTGAAGTACCAGGAGCCGACCGGATAGGCCGAGAAATTCCAGCCGAACTGGCGTGCCGCGAAATACAACACCAGCGAAGCGATCATCACCATGTCGGGCTTGCGCAGCATCAGCCACAGCACCGGCGGGAAGAATCCCATCAGGACAATGTAAAGCGGCAACACGTCGAGATTGACCGGCTTGAAGCGCAGCAGAAGCCCCTGCGTCAGCGTCTGGATGGGATTCGCGATGAGGCCGGCGACGTTGAACTCGTTGAGGATGTCCGGATCGGCATAACGCAATGCGACCCAGCCGATCGCGGCGATATAGATCACGAACAGAATGACGTGCGCGACATAGAGTTGCCAGACGCGCTTCCACAGCCGGGTCGAGCCGACGATAAAGCCGCGATCGAGCATCATCTTCGCGTACACGAACGACGCCGTGTAGCCCGATATGAACACGAACAGGTCGGCGGCGTCGCTGAACCCGTAATTGCGCGGGGTCGCCCAGTTGATGACGTTGTTCGGAATGTGGTCGAGAAAGATCCACCAGTTGGCGATGCCGCGGAAGAAATCGAGCCGGAGGTCGCGGCCCTTCTCTGGGAGTGTTGCCTGAATTTCCATGAGTACCGTTTCGTGATGCGATCGAACCAAATAACGCCAGCGGAACGCCTACCCGGACCCAAGCGGTCCGACATTGTCACCGCGTTTCGGACCGACTATACCAGAACTCGCCGTAAAAAGTCTTGTTCTGGGCAGTCATGCTCAGGATCTTGATGTTGGCCGGCATCCGAATCTCATGCTTTTTACCTATCCGATGCCACTAGTGATCAGGCGCAGGGACCCGTTAGCTCCATGACAGCAAGAATCTTCAAACCTGCTAAAAATGCGATGCAGTCCGGGTTTGCCAAGACCAAGGCATGGCAACTGGACTATGAGCCCGAGCAGCCGCGCGTGGTCGAGCCGCTGATGGGCTGGACCAGCTCCGGGGACATGAAGCAGCAGGTGACGCTGCATTTCCACACCAAGGAAGAGGCCGTCGCCTATTGCGAGCGGGAAGGCATCCCCTATCAGGTGCTGGAGCCGAAGGAATTGCAGCCGCGCGTGAAGGCCTACGCGGACAATTTCGCGTTCCGCCGCGTCGAGCCCTGGACACACTAAGCCTCTCTCCCATGTTTGCGCTCAGCGGGCGTTCGCCCGCGGGCCCGGCTTTGGCATTCAGCCGGTCCGGCCTCATGAAATTGCCCCGGCAAATGTCGGGGACATGACATTTCCTGATGCCGCTTTGCCCTATTGAGGGCCTCTGACCCACGGCAAGTCTCTTCAATATCGTCGCGAAAGTTGTGGTTGCATTCAGCCGCCAAGCAGTGACACCTTGCGGGTCGAAGCCGTCCGGAAAGGACGGAAGCAAGCAATATCAAAACGTTACGCGGCGGGAAACAATGGCACTTCGTTCCGGACTCGATCCCAAATCGGCCGATTTCACCCGCAATGCGGAAGTCATGCGGACCCTGGTTGCGGACCTCCGGGACAAGCTTTCACAAGTTGCGGGCGGTGGCGGGGAGGCTTCGCGCGCCAAGCATACCGCGCGCGGCAAGATGCTGGCGCGTGACCGCGTCGACCTCCTGATTGATCCAGGCACGGCGTTCCTCGAATTCTCGCCGATGGCCGCCTACGGCCTCTACGGCGGCGGTGTGCATTCGGCCAGCATCGTGACGGGCATTGGCCGCGTCTCGGACCGTGAATGCGTGATCGTCGCCAACGACGCGACCATCAGCGGCGGCACTTATTATCCGATGACCGTGAAGAAGCATCTGCGCGCGCAGGACATCGCGCGGCAGAACAATCTGCCTTGCATCTACATGGTCGATTCCGGCGGCGCATTCCTGCCGCAGCAGGACGAGATATTTCCCGACGAGAAGCACTTCGGCCGCATCTTCTACAATCAGGCCAACATGTCCGCGCAGGGCATCCCGCAGATCGCCATCGTGATGGGATCGTGCACCGCCGGCGGCGCATATGTGCCCGCGATGTCGGACGAGAGCATCATCGTGCGCAATCAGGGCACGATTTTCCTCGGCGGCCCGCCGCTGGTGAAAGCCGCGACGGGCGAGGTCGTCACCGCCGAAGAACTCGGCGGCGCTGACGTTCACAGCCGCCACTCCGGTGTGACCGACCACTATGCGCAGAACGACAGCCATGCCATCGGCATCGCACGCCGCATCGTCGGCAATCTCAATCCGGCGACATCGTCGGCGACAGGATTGCGCGCGCCGCGCGACCCGCTGTTCGACCGCGAGGATATTTACGGTGTCGTTCCCGCTGATGCCCGCAAGCCGTTCGACGTGCGCGAGATCATCGCGCGCATCGTCGACGGTTCGGAGTTCGAGGAATTCAAGAAGCTCTACGGTACGACGCTTGTCTGTGGCTTCGCCCATATCTGGGGCTATCCGGTCGGCATCATTGCCAACAACGGCATTCTGTTCAGCGAGAGTTCGCTGAAGGGCGCACACTTCATCGAGCTCTGCTGCCAGCGCGGCATCCCGTTGCTGTTCCTGCAGAACATCACCGGCTTCATGGTCGGCAAGAAATACGAGGCGGGCGGTATCGCCCGCGACGGCGCCAAGCTTGTAACTGCCGTCGCAACCGCCTCGGTGCCGAAGTTCACCGTGGTGATCGGTGGATCTTACGGCGCCGGCAACTACGGCATGTGCGGCCGCGCCTATAGCCCACGCTTCCTCTGGATGTGGCCGAACGCGCGCATCTCGGTGATGGGCGGCGAGCAGGCGTCGATGGTGCTGAGCCAGCTCCGCCGCGATAACATCGAGGCCAAGGGGGGCACCTGGTCGGCGAAGGAAGAAGATGCCTTCCGTACCCCGATCCGCGAACAGTACGAAACGCAAGGCCATCCGTATTACGCCACCGCGCGGCTATGGGACGACGGCGTGATCGATCCTGCCGATACGCGGCTTGTGCTTGGGCTCGGACTGTCCGCCGCCGCTAACGCTCCAATCGAGCCGCCGAAGTTCGGCGTGTTCAGAATGTGATGCGGGGCGCAAAACGATGACCGATCTTGTCCGCATCGAGCGCGATCAGGACGTGGCACGCGTCACGCTGAACCGTCCTGAACTGAACAATGCCCTGAATCGCGCGCTGATCGAAGCGCTGCGCTCCGCCTTCGAGAGCATCGCTTCCGATCGCTCGATCGCGACGATGGTGCTCGCGGGCGAGGGCAAGAGTCTCTGCGCCGGAGCTGACATCAACGCGATGCGCGAAGCGGGCACCTATACGCGAGAGGAAAACATCGCGGACGCCATGCCGCTGGTGCGGATGCTGTCCGCGCTCGACCGGATGCCCCAGACCACCATCGGCCGGGTGCATGGTCCGATCTATGGCGGCGGTGTCGGTGTGGTCTCGGCCTGTGACATCGCTATCGGCTCTTCTGAGGCGACGTTCTGCCTGTCGGAAGTTCGTCTCGGCATCGTGCCGGGCATGATCAGCCCTTACGTGCTGCGCGCCATCGGCGAACGGACGGCGCGGCGCTATTTCCAGACCGCAGAAGTGTTCGATGCGAACGAGGCGATGCGGATCGGCCTGCTGCACGAGGTTGTCGCGCCCGAAGTTCTGGACGAACGCATCGGCAAGTTGCTCAAGCAGTTGAAGTCGGCGGCGCCGGGCGCGCGGTCCATCGCCAAGAAGCTCGCTGGCGATATCGCCGGGCGGCGCATCGACGAAGCCCTCATGACCGAGACCGCGCAACTGATCGCCGATGTGCGCGCCAAACCTGAGGCCCGCGAAGGCCTTTCCGCATTTCTTGAAAAGCGCAAACCGTCGTGGACCTGATCCGATGAACGCCAAAGCCGCCACCAAGTCCGCAGCGCTGTATCGCCGGTTCAACACATTGCTGATCGCCAATCGTGGCGAGATCGCCTGCCGCGTCATCCGCACGGCGCGGGCCATGGGCCTGCGCACCGTTGCGGTCTATTCCGAAGCGGACGCCGATGCTGTGCATGTCGCCATGGCGGATGATGCCGTGCTGCTCGGCCCGGCACGGGCGCGCGACAGCTATCTGAATGTCGATCGCATCATCGAGGCAGCGAAGAAGACCGGTGCTGAGGCCGTGCATCCGGGTTACGGCTTCCTGTCGGAGAACGCCGACTTCGCGCGCCGCTGTGCGGCCGAGGGTATCGTGTTCGTCGGCCCGACTGCCGAGATGATGGAAGCGATGGGGTCGAAGTCAGGCTCCAAGGCGCTGATGGAAAAGGCGGGCGTGCCGCTGGTGCCCGGCTATCACGGCGAGGCCCAGGACGAGAAGACGCTGGCGGATGCGGCCAGCAAGATCG